AACCTACTGCAAACTATTCGAAACACGGGACTGACTGAGAATGTTGGAGACGACACTAGGTGGGGCCCTAGTGGAAAGTCATCAAAACTAGATTATATTCTAACTAGTGACCAGCTACTCGTCGAAAAGGTCCAGATCATGACTCCTCTGGGAAGCAGTGACCATGCAGTCATAGGTTTCGATCTTGTCTTCCGTGAGCGTTTGCAATATGATGTTACGCGACCATGTCTGTGCTACAGCAAGGCTGACTATGCTGAAATGCGGAGGCTCTTGTCCGACGCAGACTGGCCCTTAGCATGGGACGACCTATCTGTGGATGAACACTGGGAAGTGGTAAAAAAGATTATCCATACAGCAATCTCGGATACCGTCCCTTTAGTCACAACACAGCCCAAGAGAAAGACGTCATGGTTGAAGAGAGGCACGCAACGTATTCTGCAAGCAAAGCGGAAGGCTTGGTTTACGTGGCGTGTATCTAAGAGTCAGACCGACCATGATGCATACCTCGAACTCAGGAACCGGTGTAATGCAAGAGTCAGGAGGGACAGAAGGTCATTCCAGGCTAACCTTGCTAAAAAACTCCTATCAAACCCTAAAAACTTGTACCGATTCATGTCGGAAAGAAAACCGACAAACCAAGGGGCATGCGCCTTAGTAGGCCCAAACGGTCAATATCTCACTAGTCTGGAGATGGCTGAAACATTCAGTTCAGCCTTCGCTAAACAGCTAAACAGCAATGTGGATATTACAGTTACGGACCAAAATGGTGGCACCACTATTTCAGAGGAGGAAGACCTAGCGACTACTCCCCAAATAAACCCCGCAATAGTACTAAGGAAGCTACAGCGACTCATACCTGGGAAGTCCCCAGGTTGTGATGACATCAGGCCATCTGTTCTGAAACAGTGCGCCGAGGCTCTCTGTAGACCCCTGTGCGACTTGTTCCAACACTCAATGGATTCGGGGACCCTGCCAAGGGAGTGGAAAAGAGCCATCCTTTCTCCAATCTTCAAGGGTGGGGACAGGCAAAACGCTGCTAGCTATAGACCAGTAGCTCTACTCCCAGTGGTATCAAAAGTACTGGAAAGTATTATTGACGACCACATCAGGGAATATTTCGATAGGACTAATATACTACATGAAGCCCAACATGGTTTCAGAAAAGGCAGATCCTGCGTCACTAACCTACTGTCAGCTTGGGACGACTGGACATCATGCTGGGACTTGAACGTACCAGTCCATGTGGTCTTCCTAGACTTTGAGAAGGCATTTGACACTGTTCACCATGACCTTCTCCTACATAAAATAAGCCAGGCAGGCATAGGTGAGCCACTTCTGTCATGGTTGAAGGACTACCTAGCCGACAGGCAATTTTGCACTAAGGTTAACCGAGTCCGATCATCTTGGCACAGATCGTCATCAGGAGTGTCGCAGGGTTCTATCCTAGGACCACTGATGTTTTTGATTTTCATCAATGATCTACCACGCCGTCTGAGCTGCCCGACTCTCCTGTACGCTGACGACGTAAAAATATGGAGGGCGATAAAGTGTCCGGAGGACTCAGATAGGCTACAGGAAGACCTAAACCTTCTGGAAGACTGGGCGGTGGCCAGTGGCATGACTTTCAACTTGAAAAAGTGCAAAGTAGTGAAGTTGCGCACCTGTAGACTGCAGAATGCAAGTTACACCCTGTGCAATGAAAGCTTGTCCTGCACAACGTCGGAACGCGACTTAGGTCTAGTTCTAACGGAAAAAATGGACACAAGCGTAAATTACACAGGGGATGTAGCGAGGGCATATGCGGTCATACACTTTACGCATAGACAGTTAGGTGCACTCACTCCTGAGCTCTTTCTAATGTTGTACAAAACATACGTCAGGCCACACCTTGAGGTGCATAATATTATTGCACCCCCAATGCTGAGAAGAGATGCCAACCTCTTGGAAAGAGTCCAACGACGGGCAACAAAAGGAGTGGTTGGTCTCCGAAACAAACCATATGATGAAAGGCTGAAGAAATTAGGCCTGTTCACACTTAGTTACCGTCGGCTTAGGGGGGATTTGATTACTGCCTACAAAATAACAAATGACCAGAATCACCCAAACAAAGGTGTTCTGCCATTGAGTAGGTATAGGCTTCCACGTGGAAATCCCAGAAGGATAGCTCACCAGAGGGCAAGGACCCGGGTGCGCTCCCACTTCTTTTCACTGCGGGTTTGTCGTCCCTGGAATTCCTTACCGGCAGATGTAGCTATGGCACCGTCTTTGGACGCCTTTAAGCGAAGGCTGGACAACCATGCAGCGATACAAGGACTGCATCCAAATGGCCTATCTCCTTAAAATCGCATTTACCAATCAGGGTAGATAATTAAACTCGTCATTTTACTTCTTTACATTCTCTCCCGTCTTACTCTCCTGACAACTTATTAATATTATAATTACTATTATTATTATATTACTATTACCGATATATATATTATTCTTCAAACTTAATGAGCTGACTGTTGTTACGTTTCCTATTTTCGTTTCTGTCTCTTAGTCTGAATAGCTTCACTAATTATATCTATTATTATTACTATTATTATTATTATTACTATCTCTTTTCTCTTGTCGACAATACCGAAGGACTAACTGGCGAAAGGATCAACTCCAATCACAGTAGTAACAGTCTTAACATACCTCATACTACAAACCACATAAAATTAATCCCAGCACTACTCCCTTTGGAGTCAACCAAAGCTACGACAGTCGAGTGGCGGGACAAGCTACGCAGAAGTTTACCGAAGATCAAGAACCTATACCTCACAATCAAGAAGCGAGCACAAAGAAATCAAATTGGTTTATACTAGCTCGTAAAAACGATATTGGATACTGGATGTTGGATATTGACAGAAAAAGTTCCTACTGTTTTCAAAAAGTTGCGTTACGCATCTAGTCAGCTGTGCGTTGCGTGCGTCTGGGAGACATCAGGTCAGGAGCTAGAGGTGTCTTACTGAAGTTTGGCAAAGATGTTGCACTCCTTTTTACATCAGAAACAAAGTCCTAGTTTTGTAAACTTATTGGTGAGGTGTAAAGTGGGTATATAAGATATTTATTATTATGGAAATTTTGGGAGGTTTCCGAGTTTATACGTCACTTCTTTATATGCGCTGCATACGCGATTTTCTTTGTTTTTCTGATGCATTATGTTTCGCATTTAGAGTGACTAATTGTTCACGCTAGCCTGGACTACGGGGCACCTCAGAATGCGCGACAGACTTCAGCTCCATTGCACCGATGCTCTCCAAATCCTGGCGGTCATGTCGTAGTTTCTTAACTAACGTCGAAGTTTTGCTAGCTGAGAATATTGCTGCATAAATCTAACATTCTTTTCAGGCGAACAATGACTTTAGGTACACTACAGTCGCTTTGGGCACGTCTGTGAATTACCACGCCTATTTTCCTTAAGTTTAAATTTTTGGAGCTTGTTTCTATTCCAAAAATGAGGAGAATAGTAGATAACTTAATATGTATCATCTCAAATTATGAAACCCAAGGAATAATACGGTTTCAGTTGGATTTCTAAAACTTCGGGTGGACTGCAGCTACAAAATGACTATCGTTTCATTTCAGCTACTATTTCTGCATATGCTTACGTCACCATCATCATCAGTTTCTGCAGGCAAAAATCCAAAAAATTGTCGATATTAACAACATTGACTTTTTAAAAATAACCTGGAATCTTTAGTCATTGGACATCAGTTCATACTATGTATAAGCGATACCGGGCGTAAATACAGCACTAAGCTAAATATAAGTAGAAAGAAGGAAAACAATACAGAATTTATTAAATTCTAGCTTCTAAAGCAGGCCAGGGTAGTACTAAATTACTCAACCTTTTTCTTTTTCACTCAGAACTCGGGTTGTTTTAAGCGAGTTACGAGGTGTTTGGAGTATTTGACGATTTGTCTGTTGACTGATAGATAATTGAAAGAGATTCCTCAGTGTTGGCTTTGTGTCGTTTTTGGGTCAGCTGGTCTAATATAGAACTGTGGATGGTTTCTACTACACTTTTATTTATCCAAACACTGATAGGTGTTCCAAGGGACGAGAAAGATGCTAAGATGTATTATGACTGCACTTATTCTTTAATATTATTTGCGACTTACAATGTTTTTTAAATTTGGATGTCTGGGTTTTGAATACCAGTTAAAAGTTGATTGATCCAGGCTTTATTTCTCTCTCCAGAATTGACTTTTGAAGTTTTATATGCATACAAAATTATGACACATGTAAATGTAAAATCTTGAGATGGAATTGGAAACATAAGTGATACAGTCAGATTTTAACTGATTCGTTCAAACACTGGACTGTTAGATAATTGAGTGAGAACTCATGACAGCTTATGAACTTGCTTATAGATCCTAAACTTTACTATTTCATCCCTATAATTAGGTATAGATTTGCAGATTTACGCATAGCTTCTTTTAAATTGTAGTATTTTTAAGTAGTAATATTGGTATATAGTTATAATAGATAGAAATTAGGAGCTAGGAAATTTTTCAAGTTAGATCACGAGCTGACATCGGTTCTGTAGCGGAACATTGGAAACCAAGGAGTACTGGACAGCTGTTTCGTCCTAGTTTCTGACTTTTTGTCAACACTATTCACCCATGACAACTCCACCAGGTGTCGAACCGAGAAACTTCTGAGTTTACAACGTTAACCTATTGACCATTCAGTGACCGAGAAGGAATCTAATGGCTTGGATCTATATATATACACATTTTTGTGGATGTTCATTTGGATGAAACTAACTTTGATGTGCTTTTTCTCTCTGTAGATTTCGAAATATTATTTTGTACATATATAGTTTAGTTTTCAATTTTCTTGAGCAGTTCTGTTTTATTTCTATATTTTTTTCATTTTCCGTTTTTTTTCTTTAGCATTTGCATTTATCACGTTTATTACATCTAAAACACCCAATTATTCTTTGAAGAAACTTTTCCTGGAAAACAATCATGGTACATCTTAAAAATGGTAAGCTACTTGCCTTTGCATAGAATGTTTAAGTTATTACTATTAATATTAAAACACAAACTTGGTATATTATGGGCACTAATTTGTCCGTCACACAGTCTCATAGTTTGTAATTTTCACCCGGACTCCTTACTGAAGCAGGTGGTTGCCTTAAAGAATCACCTCTGGAGCCTTTAACTTGCGGTCTGATCTACAAGTCAGTGGAGCTGTGATAGGAGCTACACTCCCATGGTTTATAGGCTATTCGGTCGTTTTGGATCTTGAAGTGTTTGCACACCATAGGTTTGGAGTCAAGGTTTCCAGCTCCTCTAGGTAGACCTGCATAAACACCAGTCCACTTATAAACGCAAAACGTTCGTATTCACCTTTTCACTTTTGTGAGAAAGATCCTTACCATGTGAAGGCCGTGAATAGAACATATCCAAGAGAGGGTATGAACACGTGGCCGCTTGAAAGCATTTTGGAAGTCTACCTGTCGTTGGGTGTACCAGGTCGTATCACTTCTAGTATTTCAAAGTAATTTTATAAAACATAACATAATTGAGCAAAGAATATCTTTTTCTATAAATTCCTCTTCTGACTCTACAATTATATACATATTTTTATAAATAGGATATTCTGAGTTAGTAGTCAATAACAATATTAGTGTTTTTTAAATAATATCGGTTTGTTAAGTGAGATCACCATGGAATTACAATTCATTAAAGATGCTTAAATTATAATAATAATAATAAAATATAATAGCAAATAGAATATCAACTAAAATTAGGAAAATTCCGCAAAAATCCAGAATCATTCAAACCTAGATGGCCAGGGTAATGATAATGTCTGAACTAACTTCTTTCGAATGCACAAATTAGGCTTGTTAATATGTATCCCCACAGCCTCAAACACACTAGATATCACGGCATTAATGCCTATTTGGAATTAACTGTTATTCTTTATTTTCCAGCGTAAAACATTCTTCAAAGTTGAATAATGCAGTCAGATGACTCTGAATAGATGTGCAGTGTAACTCAGTCAGTCACGTTTATATATGGTTGGCAATGTGTCACACCTATTGTGTGAGCAATTATGATTCTACCTGGTTACTTAAACCTCAGTAGATTAAGTGGGTTTTGCACCCATAACCATAACTTAGTGGTTGGAAGTTGAGCACCAAGACCAATGGCCCACAACTCCAATTTAAGGCGAATACTTCCATCCATGTATTCGCGCTACACATTTCGGACGGTCTAATCAAGCACACACGTGTACTTATCATACATTCACCTATATAAAAGGCAACAAAGTATCAGTTTTTTTTATCTATATAGGTCAAAATGTTTCCTGGTGACGATCACGGATAAGAGGCAAGGAAGTGAAGTAAAGCAAAGAAGAGTGAGTAGGGGATATTATTAGGTAAAATAAACCTTGGTTATGTAAAGGTGGATTACCAAGGTAGGCTTAAAGTAATAATAAAAATAATTTTTTGAACACCTGAAAGAGGTCTAAGACTTTTCATTTGATGAAGCCATCTTCTGACGAATTTCAGCATTTGACCCAAACGTGTTTTTTTCCTATATGGGTTTAAAGGTACCATTGAAATCAACTATGAGGGGGTTTGCAATGGATGAAGTAGTTGGACATCTGCTTCCGGGATTTGTTCTCTCAAGCACTTAAGAATGTGTTCTTTAGCCTTGACCTGCAGAGATCAACAGGTCCTCCCTATATTCGTGTGACCTCACATTCATGTAAATTGGTAAACATAATGGTGGGATACGGTGAGACCGTCGTTCGGATGCTGTTGAGCGTTTAAGGGACAACCTATAGTTTTCGCTTACTGTGTGAAAATAACTTTATCTCCTCTGAGTCTTTGTTTAGTGATCAGACTTTGGTAACCACCCGAAGTGATTGTGGAAGACATGAAAAGGCCGGCTATCTGTCTTTGATCATAGATGTCTGCCTTCTATCTCCCGTGTGTGTTAAGTGTTATAATAAGGTGAGCAATATTCAGGTTAGGCATCAGTCGAGTGCTCTCGAGTGAGTTGGAAGGGAAATCAATCGACGGGGCTGTCAAGCAGATGCATCGATTGAGACAGTTAGGACATGTGTTACGCATGCATCCCTAGTCATCGCCTTCCTCGACAATTGGCAATGTTAGCTGACATACGGTCAGGTTATTAAAGAGCTAGTGGTGTGGTAGTAGTCAAACCGAAAAATGGCTTCATCAGTTAATCAAATCCACAACAGTTAGTTTGAGCCGTTCACTTAGGGAGGTGTAGACTGGCTTCCTGACTGGTGAGGGTCCTCGGGCTGGTAAAAACCATTGAAGTTTGGAAACAGTTGGCGATGCGGCTCAAATTGTTGTAAATAGCTGGTGCAAATGCACTTACTCTTTGTGATTTATAATATCCAATAGAACTATATTATTCTTCGATATTACTATTCTTTTTGCCTCATATCTCTGTCTACTGTCTCTGTTTTGCATTTTTTTTAACTTTCTTCTGTTGCTTTGTGTGTCAAGTGAAGTGTGGTGACTCGAACTGCTGTACATCTGTGCAAAGTTCTATGTTGAAACCAGACAGTCAGTAGTCCCTTATAATGGTTGTGAAAAAATAGGTTTAAAACAACTGCCGTATCACAGGATTTCATCATGAGCTGACAGTTAGAGAACCATTAGAAAACCTGGGAGTACTGGACAGCTGTTTCGTCAGCCTAGTTTGGGACTCTTCAGAAGTACGCACCCACACCACAAGGGTTCGAACCCAAGACCTTCTGGTTACGAGGCGAGCTACATCGTAGACCATTAAGCCACTGGGACCCGATCCAATGGCCAGCCCATGAACTCTAACTTCTGCCAATTCACGACATAGCGCGACCCCTAACCCAATGTCTTCGATGGCGAGTATTTGTCTTCACACCCGACCTGCTGTACCCTACTGGTCACGAATTCTCACTAGAACCACAGGTAACTACCTACCTGAATGGAGCAAGTCGCTAGTGAGTATCTACCGTATTATTTTCGTTGCTATGATGATACCTTTTTCTCTTGAATATTTCATTCAGGTGATCCAGAACCTTCAATTGATCCTAGCAAGTATACACTGTTCGCCTATCGATTTTGTCCATTTTGTGAACGTGTCAGATTGACACTGAATTTTCATAAAATTGAGTAAGTTAACAAATTATCAAGTTTGTTAATTTGGGTCATATTACGTGATGTGTGATAGCTACTTCTACTACTCTAACTGTTTAATGATCGGTTTTTAATGGGGTTTGGTCATGTCTTTGTAAATTTGTCTCATCGGAACAGTATTATTCGATTTTTTAATTAAGCTGTGTGAAAAATGTTATTTACTTGAGTATCTGTCCATTTATTGTGGACTTTCAGAAAACAAAATTCAGTGGTGACAAGGAACAGTGGTGGGTGTCAATTGCAATTTTAAAAGTATTTTATTCATGGTGGAATTGGTGCATTTTAAAAAGTTATTTCCGTCTTGTACAGACTATCCGTTGTAAGTGACAGGTGACTTTTCTCAACTTCTCTTGTCTAAAAAGGTAAGAACGTTTAAGGGTTCTAGTTGGGGAATGTTCCTTTTAGCTATCGATCCAAGGATACATGTACTGTACAACAGTTCACACCGTTTTTCTTTACGACTGTAAAACGTTGCTGTTTAGGTTTCACAGCCTCATCGATTGAGACAGTTAGGGTGTGTGTTACTAAAGTATGCCGAGCTACCTCATTCTTTGTTGAGCATTGTTAGCTGATGTATAATTTAAGTTGGAAAACAGGTAGGAGTGGTCGAATCAAGACATATTATCAATTCATCAAGTCCGTTAATTGTTGGTTTCAGTGACTGTAGCAGATGGCAAGATGCTAAGAACCGTCATAGATGGAAAAAGGTTCTCAGTGGAACAGATGCATTCACTCCTTTGTAGTCTTCCAGATCGATTAAGTTCTTCTGATTGTGCATGTTTTTTTAAAGATTCCTGTACGTTCCCAGTGGAACATAGGGTGCCTTCAAGCTAGAGGCTTGAAGTTTCGGTAGCAATGTTATTTGTTTTTTATAGAATGGAGTGACTAGCCTCATGCCGAACCTCCCCTCTCTACTAGTCTTATTATTGGCTTAGCGAGGTGTAGGAGTGTGTCGGTGGCCGGGGATCGAACGCTGGAACATACGAGTGGTTGGTGAACATTCTACTGCTGTGCCATAACACATAATTGTGCGTGTAATTGCCCCTTCTCTTGTACATTTCCGTTCTCAAGAAGACAATTGCAGCGAAGAAAATTTTCTTTTCGACGAAGTCACCATCAACTAGGCTGCACATTCGTGTATTTATATCAAATGGATGGGAAAGTTCCAGAATAATTTACGGTTAAGGGTCAAATTAATAAAAATTAAAATTAAGAATTAGAATGCCATAATAAACAGGGGGATGGATAAAACAAACAAAGTAGCATCATAATAACTAAGAAGATTGACATTGTGCATTTGGGGGGTTAGAAATGTAGAAATAACAAAATAGACAGGATGTTTGGATAAAACTAATGTGGTGAATAATTGTTTATGCAATCAGGGATTAAATATGTAGAAATAGTAAAATGACAAAATAAACAGGAAGTTCGGATATGAAAATATGGTAGTGTAAACAGGGATTAAGAAAAACTAAAGAATAACATGAATAAACAGGAAGTTTAGATAAGAAAGGCGATGGGATGGGCATTACTAAAAATTACCTGTTTATGATGGCCATGGCAGAGACAGGGGTTGGACGTATTTCTTTTCTATACAAAGCGTGGGTTTGAGCTAATGTATAGCTAGCGCCTCGGCTATGCCCAGATGTCTTGATTTCACTCCCTTTGATGGGTTTGATTGGATCTTGTAAATTACTTTGAAGGATTTTTCAAAAGGCGCTGAATGTCCTGAATTAACCAGATGTTGTTCTGTCACTGAACTGTATACACGCTTTTGGTCTCCTTTTACTAACCAGGCTGGGTAGTGTTCACGAGCGCGTTTTTCAAGTCGGTGCATGGTACTACCGCCAACGTACTCAGCTCCACATTTCCGTTTACTACAGTTTTTAAAAAATTTCTGCTATCATTTTTCATACCTTTGTGTGTGCTTTTATGAAATGTGCCAACTTGAAGTGCTTCACTTTTGTGCAAAGTTCTACTCTGAAAGTTCAATTCAATTCATATCTTAAATCGTTATGTTGTATGCGTGTGCTTATAGTCTGTCATAATCACCTTTCGATGTTAACTTTTAAAGAGTACTTCTTAACCACTGTTTTCTCATGGTGTTGCGTGCTTTATTTGACTAAATCAGCTTACATGTATTTTTTAGTTCTTTTTTACGTTTGTCAATATGCATAGACGTTGTAGGTACTTGACGTTGAAGCTTGCGTGGATGTAGGTGTTGGCACATCGTTCAGCTGGTCTTTATCGTTGACTTCGAAATCGATGAACGCTGGTTTGACTCTGTCGACACTGATAGCTTCTGCTTTATTCAGTCGTTCTATCGTGATAACTTTAGCATTTCTATTTAGAACTTTGAATAGGCCATCATCGTAAGCGGGTTGAAGTGGTCATTGTACACCCTCTCTCCTGACAAAGATGTGAGTGCAATCTGTCAGTTGTGGTGGGATGTATGACGCTCGTTCCTGCCGGTGTGAAAAAGATATCTTGAGCTCGTTCATGTGTTGTTTTAGCTGGTTCACGCAACTAGTCATATCGTGTGGAACTTGGTTACCACTTTTGTCTCATTATCATTAAAACACGAATAGTTAGAATGCCAAGCTTGAGCCTATACAATTCTCCAGCTTACTTGAATGACTAATTGAATTTTAACAAAGAAGTTTTTACAGAAGTATAGTAGTTCAAGTTGTCATATTCTGTGTAGCCCACAAAGTTGGACAAATAAGATAGAAGGATAGATTCAAAGGGACTAGAATAGCCGTTGTTTCTTAGAGTTTAGAAGAACTCAATCAGTCAGGCTACATCTGCTTGTGGGGGTTCAAACCAATCGTCAAAGTTTTCATGGACTGACGTCAAGTTTATTCTCCAGTCTACTTTAATAGATGCTTGCTTTTGAATGTCTCCTTAACCGAATGAGACTTGCTGCCTGTCTGTCTGTTTTCAACATAGAACTTTGCACCGATATGCAGCAGTTCAAGTCGCCACACTCGATGTACCACACAAAGCAAGAGAAGAATTGCAAGACAGAGACAGTCGACAGGGATATGAGACAAAAGGAATAGTAATAACAAAGAGCGACATACTTTTGTTGGATATCATAAGTCACAAGGAGTGGATGCATCTGCACCGGCCAGTCATTGAGAACGATTTTGAGTCATATCACCAATTGTTTCCAACCATTGGTTTTTACCGTCCCGAGGACACCAACCAGGCGGTCTACACCTTCCTACGTGTCTGGCTTAAACTAACTGTTGTGGATTTCATTGACTGATGAGGCCATTTTTCGGTTTGACCACTACCACACCACTAGCTCTTTAATAACCTGACCGTATGTCAGCTAACATTGCCAATTGTCGAGGAAGGCGATGACTAGGGATGCATGCGTAACACATATCCTAACTGTCTCAATCGATGCATTTGTTTGACAGCCCCGTCGATTGATTTCCCTTCCAACTCACTCGAGAGCACTCGACTGATGCCTAACCTGAATATTGCTCACCTTATTATATCACTTAACACACACGGGAGATAGAAGGCAGACATCTATGATCAAAGACAGATAGCCGGCCTTTTCATGTCTTCCACTTTCAATGGCGGCCATGTCTTGCTCACAGCTATTAAGGAGGGTGGAGTGGATTTCTGAGCAATACACACGCCCGTGATGCTAAACGCATAACGCTAAATATTTACGTGATTCGAATAACCGTTTCGTTAATATGACGCAATCTAATGCTTAGGGTAATATGCCTCAAAATGGTTTTCAATGGAACAGGCTGTGAAGTCATACGACGGTTGAGATGACTAAGACATATGTCATTCCTAATAATGAGCCACTGACTTCCTTGCCGAGCAGTGTTCTTTCACATATGATCAGGTTGGATAAAAGAGTCAGCCTTAATCATACTAAAACATCTGATCAATTCATGAAGTGTTTGATTGTTGCTTGGAGCCAAATACACAGGGTGGTGTAAGCTGCTTGGTTAGGATTCGTGAGATGCTATGATCGAATGGCTAGCGACTGGTGGTGATATATCTCCCAATCGTTTTCATTGGCCCGAAGTTCATTTACTTTTTACCATCGCCCAGATTCATGAAGTGCTCATGTTTCTTCGCATAATTGTACTTCCTTCGTTCGTTGAAATTTGATTCTCTACTTTTGTGTATGCTGTATGGATTGTGACAACACCTTTGTGGAAAGTTCTAGGTTGAATATGCAGTAAATCCCAGTAAATTATCTTTCCATTTTCTGAATGTCTTCGTTGTTTTGCTTCACGTTCCCAGTGGAACATAGGACACCTTCAAGCTAGTGGCTTGAAGTTTCTGTAGCACTGTTTAATTTACAGGATGGGGTTGCTAGCCAGCCTCATTCCCAACCTTTCCTCTTTACCAGCATTATTTCTGGCTTAGCGAGGTAAAGGAGTGCGATGGCGGCCGGGGATCGAACCCCGGACCATGTGCATGGTCGGTGAGCGTCCTAAACGCTGTACCACCAACACACACGAATGTCTTTGTACTGTTGCCTAATTCGTACACTTCACAACCACGTGGTACAAACTGAGGTGTTTAAACTTCGGTCTTCCTCTCATGTGCCCATGTGTTCAAACGTCTGCCAAGGAAATTCTATTTACTGTCTTTACTTGGCGGGGATGTTTCTCACAAAAGTAAGGGGGTAAATATCCGAACCTCTGCCAGACTGGTGGACATACTAGTCCACCTAGGTGAGCTGGAAAACCATGATTCCAAACCTATGGGGTACATGGACTCCAGAATCCGGAATGATCTAATGATGCATGCACTTGATTTGGTCACTGAAAGCTATGGGGATGTAGCGCCTGACACTGCTCCACTGACTTGTGGGTCGGACTTTATGTCAAAGACTCAAAGTTGGGGAAGTGGACCTTTAAGGTAACCACTTGCTTTAGGGCGTTGGTGGTTCACAGGTAGGATGCTCGTCGACCATGCATGTGGTCCAGATTTCGATTCCCAACCGGCACACTCCTAAACCTCTCTTAGCCGGTAAAGAAGGAAGGTTGGGCGTGAGACCAGCAACCCCACCCCGTAAAAAAACATCACTGCTACTAAAACTTCAGAGCTCTATCTTGAAGCCCTATTTTCCACCAGGAACGTAAAGGAATAAAATAAATTGCTTCAGTCTGGGGACGTGGGAATTATTCCAGCCCTCGCACAAATTATGAGATTTTGTATGGCGCATCTTTTGGTGTCCATAATGTACCATTTATATGCTTTAATAATAATAATAATAATAATAATAATAATAATAATGACACTTTACTGTGAAAATTTTCGTTCTTTTTCAGTTATGATTTAATTCTAGTTTCATTGAATGATAAACCGGACTGGTTGCTGAAGTATTCACCACAGGGTAAAGTTCCCCTGCTTATTAATCAAGGTGATAAACTGTTGGAATCGGATTTAATTATGCGATTTGTTGATGAATTACGTGGAGAAAAATCTGCTCTGATGTCAGTCTGTGGTCCAGAAGTTTTCCAACAAGCCGCTGATTTGGCTAGAAAGGTTTGTTAGCAAATTTTTTTCTTCATGCATTTAATAACAGTTTCGTTCCTGACTTTAAAAAAATGATGGGCTTTGAGGCTTCTGTCGCCACTGGATTGATTTTCCTGGGTAGACGTGTTAACAGTCTCATGCATCTGACCTTCCCTCTTTTTCCGGGTTCGCACTCAGGTAGTAAATTAGTTGACACGATGGACATAGGTTCTAGTGTGACGCAGAGGGCATCGTGTGGCTAAGTGGGGAGTAATGCAAGCTTATGAGGGAGTCCTGGAACTAGCTAAATATGTCTGTTGAGAAAAGGATGTAATGGATATGTGCCGTTGAATCGGTTGTCTTCCACTTGGAACCTACTTCAGATGACAACCAGTGGTATTCGTCAGGGATACCCACTATTCTCATTTCTGTTTAATGTCTTCCTAGATGTACTAATGGAATTAACCCTAACTGACTTAAGTGACTCAGGAATTGACTTGTTACCAGGGGATAATAGTCTCGTTGACTTAAAATATTCAGATGATATAGTCCTCCCTGCTGGGTGAAGATGCTGTCAAAATCCAGCGGAGTCTTTTGAACATCTTGATCTGCAATCTACGAATGTTTGGCATGCGATTCGCTCCCCTTGTCAAAGGTAAGATGATGCTACAGGATTGAACTACATTGGCTACTCCTGGCTTAAAGATAGGCAGCAGTGAAATGGTAGAGCGTGTTGACCGCTTCAGTTATTTGGGAATTTGCATCAGCAGGCCCCAGTGGGTTGACCGCTGACGAAATCTCATCATGGATACAGAAGGCTCTTTTGGCATATGCCCACCAAATTGCACCATCTATGACTTAGTAGACGTGATATCCGGCTGGGCGACTGTCAACCAAAGGGCGTGTGTACTGCACATTAGCAATCCGCTCCGTCCTCCTTTATGGCTGTAAGACCTGGCCTTTGAGAGTGGAAGACATGAAAAGGCCGGCTAGTTGTCTTTGATCGTAGGTGCCTGCGTTCTATCTCCCGTGTGTGTTAAGTGGTATAATAGGGTGAACAATATTGAGGTTAGGTATCAGTCGAGTGCTAGGTAGAGGTGGAAGGGTTAATCAATCGACGAGGCTGTGAAGCTACATCGACTGAGATAGTCAGGATATGTATTACGCATGCGTCCCTAGCCATCGCCTTCCTCGACAATGGGCTGACCGATATAGGATGGATCAGGTTGGATAAGAGCTAGTGGTGTTGGTGGTCAAACCGAAGTATGGTTTCATAGGTAAATGAAATCTTTGACAGTTAGTTTAAGCCATCCAGGCAGTCAAGTAGGGAGGTGTAGACTGGTTTCCCATCTGGTTGGATTCCTTGGGATGTGGTGAAAACCAATGGTGGCTAAAGACAATCGGTGATATGGCTCAAAATCGTTGACAGTAGCTGGTGCAGATGCACTTACTCTTTGTGATTTGTAATTTCCAATGAAACTATAATGTTCTTCCATATCACCTTTCTTTTCGGCTCATATTTCTATTTTGAATCTCTCCTCACTCTCTTCTCTTGTTTTGTTTGCAACATGGTAGGAGTGTGGCGGCTTGAACTGCTGCGCATCGATGCAAAGTTTTACGTTGAGTCCAGTCTGTCAGTCAATTGGAAACCAAGGGAGAAATAATCTGAGAATTACTTTGCTCTAGTGCAAATCTATTTACCGCTTCCATCGTATGCAGTTGGATTCTGATCAAGCGTTTAATATAGAAACTTGGGTGTTTTATTTCTGTATTTCTTTGGTATGTTATCATATAACTTGAGAGGGAATAGCTTTATCTATATCAGCCAGCAAGTGTCTGATTTGAATTCCACTCCCACTTACTTTGAACTGATTAGATGGTCAGTGTTATGTTCTTTGAAATCAGTTAGAGGACCAATGAAAGCCACCAGAGAGTACTAAACAGCTGTTTTATCCTAGTTTGGGACTCATCTTCACTATCCGCCCATTACCCCCACACACAGGGTCGAACCTAGAACCTTTTTGTATTAAGGCGAGCTCGCTGGTGGTCATCACGCTCTCGGATGGAATCCAATATTCCAATCAATCAATTATGACTTCTGCGCGTTCGCGATATATATGTATAGCGTTACAGCCAGCCAGTGCCATCAGCGAGTATATTTGTCCTCACATCCGACAACTTGGTGGACCCTGCTGGTCACAACTTTACTAGTTACTGACTACAAGATGAAGTCGCCTGAAGTTCTAGTGAGAAGTCGTGACCGGCGGGGTCCACCAAGCTTGTTGGATATGAAGACAAATACTCGTCGATAAGATTGGCTGGCCATATATATTTATCCTGTGAGAATGGCAACTGATACTGCTCATTTACCTTGTCTGAATTAGATGGAGTGGGTCTCGAATCCGGGTTGTATTTAGCTAGAAGCTGGATGCTAAAGCCTAATAAACGATCTAGGAACACAAATGTGATCACAATTCGGTATGGGTTTGCAGTAAGGTCTGTGTAGTACTACTGAAATACGTTTATTGCCTACTACTACTACTATGTAATAACAATATTCGAAATTATTGATTTTCTCCTCCTTGCTACCAATAAATCCAATCCTATTTTTTTCTGTCTTCTTAGTTTTTCAGTCCTGGACATGTAATATTGTTTGATAAAACTTTCAGTGATTCAGATGTGACACGATTTCGTGAAGTATGCTCTGAACTAGATCAATCGATAAAGAATAAATACTTTGCAGGTTAGTCCCCGCTTTTTTCTTTTCTTTTTTGTGATATGCTGTTCATGTGGATTATTGCACGTTGTGTGTGTGTGTGTGTGTGCGTGTATGTTAGTAATCTGTGTACTTTATCAGCTTATATATATATATATATATATATATATATTGATTGAATGTATTCGAAGGTAGTGCTTGGTCCCGGTTGACAAGACGGCTACTACCTCATACGGGAGCTGTGAAGTTCGCCTTTAGGATACACATGAAATGTTATTTGGCTGTTGGCGACTGGCAGTGGAATCCAGAATGTGCGTTTCTTTCTGTTTGAGATTCTTTACCTGAGTGTACCTGCGCCCTCTTTCAATAAGTGGCAATGTTGTTCCTGAAACCGGCGCTCATCGTTTCAAATCCCCAAAGTGTTGTTTAGTTTCAACAGGAAATCTGTAGCTCACAATGGAGGGAGATGTGTAGGTGAATAATTTGGGACAGAAATGAAACTCACCTCCTAGACTCCTCTGGTAATCACCGCCAACCACGTTTATTAAGGAAGAAATATGTACTTTCGACAGCGTGAAATCACGTAACAGTTACTTTTCATTTATTAATGAGGAAGAATTCAGATTTTTTTCAATGAATCGCCCTCATAAACCACGTAGGACAGCCTACTTTGAATGGGTAGACTTCAGTCTTCCAATCAGAATGCTTTCATGTGGCCATACGCTTTCACGACCTATGGTAGGTAAGTCCTATCTATCTGGCTTCACATATGGCGTCGGGGGTGGTTGTTCCTCACAAAAGTGAAAGGACAAATTTGAACATTTGGCTTTACAGCGGGACTAGTAGTGGGCATTCTGATCTACTTAGGGGAGTTGGGAGACTCTGATTTCAAATCGATAATGTACGTGAACTCCTGAATCCCCAAGAAAAGATCGAATGGTCTCTATAAACTTGTTTTAGTCCGCCTGTCAACCATGGGAGCACGCTGCTCTACTGCCTTGTGGATGATGAGACTTCAAGTAGGAAGGCTTGAAGGATGGTCACTTGAGGCAGCCTTCGATTTTCTTCGATTTGAGCGTCAGGACAGTTAGTATCCAAGCCGTTGCATAAACTATTGGATTTTATGTGTTGCGTCTTTTGGTGCCCATAACGTGTCAAGTCTGCGTTTTAATAATAATGATAATTATGTATGTTCAGCGAAGAAATATTTTTTCTCAACAACTTGATTTTCAAGGAGTTGTGCAGTTGTATTTATTTAATGGAAAAAGGCGTTAAGTGACACTAAAAGTTGCTCAGTTAATATGTGGCGTGTGCTACTGATAAGATTCATTAGTAGTGTAACATGAGGGATGTTCATCGGCTTAAAAAACATCGAATAGCAGGGAGATAGATTTGATGTCACAGAAAGCAAATGGTGACACAACATTGCGAAGATACATGGGGGAGACGTGAAAGCAACACAAAGGAACACGATATGCGAAGGAAGGGCAGAATTGTAGCAGGTTAGTGCAAATGGTGCGTTGAAGATAAATAAGGTGTACATAGTTTGACTATATAGAGATACCAAATTCCACATAAACATTGTGGCGTTGGTAGCTTAGCGGTAGAACGCTTGCTGGCCACGCTTGCAGTACAGGGTTCGATCCCGGCCGATGCACCCTTTTACCTTGCTAAGCCGTTAAGAAGACTGGTAAAGAGAGAAGGTTGGGCATGAGGCTAACAATTCCACCCCGTAAAAACAAATATCTGTGATCACAAATTACTAACCTTTTCATATCTTCTACTTTCAATGGTTGCCCGATAGGCATAGAAGGCAATTCTAAAACTTTCACGTTAACTGAATATATAAACGCAACTAACGTGTGTGTCTTTTGTTCTTCAGTTTTCAGACACTGCGTCCCCCAGATGACACTACTCCTGTTTCCATACCAAAGAGATCTGAGTCAGGTGCTCATCATTACTAGTTGGCACCACATACTCTTTTGTCTTGAATAACAAGTTGATCTCAAGCGTGCTACAGCTCCCCACGGTCTGATGGGTAGGAGGCCACAAACGCCCCACACCTTGCAGTTAACAATAAAGCACTCTCTTGACGTTGGTCAGCCAGATGCAAAAAATAGATGATGCGATTCCAGGTCGAACCCAACTAATACATACTTCCTAAAGGGTTAGGTGATATTTAGGCAGAAAAAACCCTTAATTGATGATGTAGCGGTCAATGTCAGTCTGGAAACGGACCAATCAGAATTGGCCCACGTAAAATGACACCCACAATTCTATTGATCATGAATAACAATAATAAATTTATTCCTTTACGTTCCACGTGGAGCATAAAGCTTCAAACTTTGATCCGCTGAAGCCTCAATCGTATTGGTGTTATCTTTTTTGTGCCAAACATTCCCTCTTTCCCTCTCTTACTATCTGTTAAGCGAGGTTTATAAGAGTGCGTCCGTTGGCCGAGGATCGAACTCCGAATCATTTGCATGACTGGTGAGCATTCTACCGTTGAACCACCAACGTGTGCAGTCCTATAAACTAAAGAGTACTGGACAGTTGTTTCGTCCCAGTCAGGACTCTTCGCCATCACACACCCACTACCATGACTCGGACCCAGGACCTTCCGGTCATCAGCCCAGCTCAACCATTACAGCGCCTCTAACTCAATCTCAATATTATTCGACACATAAAAGTGATAACATTCATAACAATAAATAAATCACTATGAATAAATTTCATGTCTTATTTATGAATTATTGATTTTTTTAAAGTCCTTTATTTCTATTTTATTTAGGTGATCAATTAAGTCTAGCCGATCTAGTTCTGTTCCCTTTGATTGATCATTTCGAAGCTATTTTAGGTGTTATACATGGCACTGAGCCAGAGAAAGTTCATGAATTCAAATTAAATGAATCTGGTAGTGGTGATGAGGCGGCGGCTTGGCCATGTTTAGTGAAATATTTGAATACCCTTAGACAAGAATCCTTCATTGCTGATAGCCGTAAAACAAGTCAATTGTTGGCAAAATATGCTGCCACCAGACGATCAGGATGTCCAAATCCTGAGATCAACTAAGTTAAAGGGAGAATGGGAGGCGGGGTTGGTTGGCTAGGCTCCGTTGTCAATGGCGCTTGTTGTGTTATGTTTGTTTTCTTATATTTTCTAATGCTTTTTTTGTGAGAGCTTTAGTGGAGGAATTGTGGGCTGGAACATTTAGTGGGTGTTTGTGTGGGTGTTGTTTTGAATGGATGACAACTGCTACTCTCCCGAAAACTCTTTTCGCCTCTTCTAATAAGACAATCAGTAGTCATTTTATTTATTTTTGCTTTTATATATATTGATCTTTACTGATTTATCGATTTCATTCCAGTGTTTATTTATGTATTTGTCTTTAATTTAATTTTATTTTGGATCATTCGAAGAGATCTGATCTTATTTTAGTATTTTTCTTAAATACATATCTGTTTGTGTGTGAGTACGGCTTTAGCTAGAACCGGAGTATTAATTTAACTTCGTCTTTTGTTGTTCTAAAGCTTTCTTGTGATAGCTGTGCTCATTTCAGTTCCACTTATAAGTTAAGTTGCTCTTGCTGTTGGCGCTGCTGCTGATGCTATTGCCTATTGCGTTACTGCTTAGTACGCATATTCTATTTATGTAGTGTTTCTACTTTTGCCTAGTGTGTATATCTGTCAATTATGTCAATTATGTGTTACATGTGTTTTAATTAGAATAGAAATGTGTGTTATGTGAAGTTATGTGAGAATAAAGAATTTTGTTTGAATGTCTACAGTACGCTCTTATTATTATTACTGTTTATTCCGGTGGGTTCCAGTTGGAATATAAGGACTTCAGAAGCATCCCTCCATTTTATTCTTTTCTCTCTGATCTTCTTTATATGACTGCACAATTACCTGTAAGCTTTCATCTTCTCCGTGTCATTGTCGAACCCATGCCCAATTCATTCGTGTTCCACTCGAAATGGCATTCGATTCTGTTGACCGAGAGGCACTATGGCGATGTTTGGCTGTAAAGGGAGTTTCGAGAAAATAGATTGTACTGATCAAGGCACTTTACTTGAACTCATGCAGTCAGCCAGCCAGGAAAGAGCTTGTGGAGAGTTGTCATCTGAAGTGGTGACAACCAGTGTGGTGGTGTCCATCAGGGATGTCCACTGTCCCCATTTCTATTCAATTTCAGCCCTTACTGCTAACTTCAGAGATTAAGTGATTGACTTGTTACCATGGGGTAATCTGGTTGACTTAGAATATGCTGATGATATAGTCGTTCTAGGTGAGGACGCTGACACAAAATGCAGAGTCTTCTGAACACCTTGAGGAGCAGCAGTCTTCGAGTATTTGGCATGCGATTCGCTCCCCTTGACAAATGTAAGATGACGGTATAGGCCTGCACTGCATTGACTCCTAGTTTAAAAATAAGGAGTGAAGTGGTAGAGCACGTTGACCGAAATCTCATTACGGATACAGAGGGCTAGTTTCGCATATGCCAGATTACGCCGTCTCTGGCGTAGACGTGATATCCGGCCGCCTGGCTGGCTGGTTTTCGACCAAAGGGTGGGTGTACTGCTCAGCAGCAATCCACTCCGTCCTCCTTTATGGCTGTGAGCGAGACATGGCCATTGAAAGTGGAAGACATGAAAAGTCCGACCAGCTGTCTTTGATCATAGGTTTCTGCGTTCTATCTCCCGTGTGAAGTGGCATAATAAGGTGAACAATATTGAGGTTAGGCATCGGTCGAGTGCTATGTAGGTGGGAGGGGAAATCAAACGACCAGGCTGTGAAGTTACTCCGATTGAGATGGTTAGGACATGTATTACGTATGCTTAGTCATCACCTTCCTCGACAATGGGCAATGTTAGCTGATATAGGGTCAGGCTGGAAAAGAGCTAACCAGCGGCGATCAAACCAAAATATGGCTTCATCAGTCAATGAAATCCACAACAGTTAGTTTAAGCCATCCACGTAGGAAGGGGTAGACTTCTTGACTGGTTGGGGTCCTTGGGACGGTAAACACCAATGGCTGGAGACAATTTGTGATATAGCTCAAACTCATCGTTGTCAATGACACCGCAGATGCATCCACTCCTTGTGACTTATGATTTCCAATGAAACTATATTATTCTTCGTTATTACTATTCCTTTTGTCTCATATCCCTGTCTACTGTCTCTATTATGCATTTCTTCTACTTTCGTCTCTTGCTTTGTGTACTACAAGAAGGGACTGTGGCGAATCGAACTGCCGCACATATGTGCAAAGTTCTGTGTCGAATACTGACAGACAGATTTATAGTGGTATGCAAGAGATCGCATACACTTTAATCTGAATGATCTCGGTTTTCAAATAGAAACCCGGTGAAATTTTAACTCAACAAATTACGTAAATTGTGAACTAGTTTACAAATTATGAATTTGATTTATGCACTGAAATAATTTTCGAGTATCTTATGTGTTTTTCTACATTTTATCGCTGAAGAGAGGCTGTGAAATAAAAAACAAAACAAGAAAACAATTAGGTCTATTTATCCTGCAAATGTAGATTTGTAGAAACTAATCAAGAGAACAGATCGTATGCAACAATTGTAAATATTCACTAGAGAATATAAAATACACAGTCAATTTCAACGGAAATTTGTGATCTAAGGACATAAATTATTTTGAAAAACACTTTTTTAGAACCAGCTGAGCAAAACAACAATGTAGGTTAATACTTTTACAATGATTTATTGAAACATTGATCACCATTGGTATTTATAAATGCAAATAACCAATCAACTCGTTTCTAGTAATTCTCATCTATGAGATGGCTGACCGGTGGATTTTCAACATAGAAGTGTAGTAAGTAGTCCAAATCGCCACACTTCGTGTAGCACACACAAAGATAGAGAAAGGGGAGAAGAAAGAGACACTCAGAAATCTGTAAGAATCAGATATTTATGAGAAATGAAATACACCTGGGTATCCATTGGTTGGAAACGAAACGTGGTCCGGTCGCTTGCCACTAGCGTTCAGCGCATATGTAGCCTTGATACTGTGGAGGATGAGAAAAAAATATTCTTAGAAAAATTCTAATAGAAAATGGATTTCCACCACGTTTTGTAGACAAGAATATTCGATCAAATCCTATGAAATGTTATTTATCATCAATAACCAAGAAAATACTGTACACGAGCTTGGAATTCAAAACGGACTTAGCTTCCGATATCATGAAACGAAGGATATCACAGTCCCTGAAAGGAACATTGCCTCCTGCATCTCTGAGAATAGCCTGTACTAGTCGACCATTACTGTTCAATGACTTGAAGGACAAGATCCTGCAGTTGACCAATTCCATGTGCGTTTGTCAATTCACTTGCTTATATAGAGCAGGAATATCGGTCATTCCTGTCGAGTTTTGTCCAAGAGGGTGCAAGAACACTATCCTGCATGGTTACGAAGAGCTGGAAGTGAAGCAATAAGAAGCGCGATCATTGAACATCTGGTCGATAATGATTACCCTATCTCTATAGACTCCGCCTCTAATGTCATCTACAAGGCAAAGACTCATCTGTATTGCTGAAGCCATCTTTGGCTATCGAAACAGACAAGCCAGATCTCTATATACAGAAAAAGTTCGTTCAACCTCTCCAACTTTCATGGTCCTAATCCTTCTAGGCTAAAGTATGTTACTCCCTAATCAAATTTTGGCGCTACCTATTTTTCATTTTGTCTATTCAATTTGTATACTCTTCCTTTATTACAATGTCAATTGTTACTATTACTACTCTCACTTTGAACTGTCTCCGGTATTATTTCACTTGTCCCACTTGTCATTCTAAATCAATTCTGTTTTGCAACGTGAAATTCTATGCTATCAGTTTTCACACAATATTACGTAACGTTTTTATTTTTATTAGATTTGTCTACTAATCCTATAATTGCACACTTTTTTTCAAGTTCTATCCATCCTATGAATTATTCTATATATAACATTAATTTGCTTTGCCACTTGACATTTAACCATGATTATAATCACAAACATTTCAGTTGCATTTCATACTACTACTATTATTATATGTTGCATTCACACCAATGATTCAACTCCCTCACCGGATATAATTTCTTACAGAACAACCATATATCTATACGATTGTACAGTCTGATAATAAATTCGTTGTTGAAAGGAGTCTCTTCGTTGAATTACTTGTTTCGATTTTCTATAAAGAATAGTAACATAGAGAAACCGAAGGCTTTAATAGATATGGGAGATCTTAAACAGTAAAAGTATGTTCACCAGTGAGAATGGTATTGAGTCATATTGTAACAACAGAAGACAAGGGCTGGCAACAGATGGTTTTATTACGAAAATCAACACGTATTTATATATATTTTATGTACATTAATAAGGCTTATGCAAGCAGAAAAAGGCAGTCTTCTGATTGGTTGTTTCACGGAAGTTAAGCAGACAAAAACAGTCTTATAATTGGTTGTTTTCGATATTTCTCGGAAAGTAGAGCCATCTATCTGCGAATCATATTTGTCCACGTTTAAGTTTGCTGTGATTGGTTGTTGAAACAGCCTTGTTCATATTTTCTCACGGCCCATATTAGTGACCTAGACATTAACGTAGATTAGTGTCAACCAATCGGCTAGCAGCCTGCTCTCACCACAATATCATCAACCGTTTTTAGCCATTGATCCTTTATAGCTCGAGGACCTGAAACTAGTTAGTTTACGTCTCCCTAGATAGCTCACATACATTGTCTGGGACTTCTTAAATTGATGTCAGGCTTTGGTCTCACCACTTCTAAGTCTTTCTAAGCCTAATCCTATGTCGGTTAACAGTACTTATCGAGGATGGTGGTAGCTCGTCACTAGCAACACATTTCCTAGCAATTTCAGTGGATGTAGCAATAGGACCTCATTGATTGCTCCTCTCTCCCTACTTAGCAATCTACGCCTAGCCTCAGTAGCGGTCAACATATTATACCACTGAACACCAGAGATATAACGTAAACGTCTGTATTCAAAGACAGCTAATCTTTTCGCCTTTAATGACAGTCTCATAATCATAAAGAGGAA